ATTCATTTATTTATGCAATAAATGTGATATATTAATATAATCAGGAACAAAAACTGTATGATTATTTCAGTAGGTGCTGAAAAGCATTTGATAAAATTCATTGATTTTAGATTAAAAGCCTTGTCAAAATTGGTATAAAAGGAACATACCTCAAAATAGTAAGAGCCATATATGACAGACCCACAGCTGACGTTGTACTGAACAGGGAAAAACTGAAGACCTTTTCTCTAAGAACTGGAACAAGACCAGGATGCCCACTCTCACCACTGTTCAACATAATATTCAAAATCCTGGTCAGAGCAATTAAGCAAGAGAAAGAAGTAAATGGCATCCAAACTGGATAGCAAAAAGTAAGGTTAGTCTGTTCGCAGATGGTATAATCTTATACCTGGAAAAACCTGAAGACTACAAAAAAATTGTTAGTGCTGATAAGCAAGTAAAGTTGCAGGATAAAAAATCAATACACAAAAGTCAGTAGCATTTATATACTCCAATAGTGAACAATCTGAAAGAGAAACCAAGAAAATAATCACATTTACAGTAGCTATGAAAAAATGTAAAATACCTAGGGAATTTAAATACTAAACACTAAAAAATTTAAAAATCAAGTTTAACTTAATTTAGTATTTTAATTTAGTGTTTAAATTCCCTAGGTATTTTATAATTTTTAGTATTTTATAATTTAGTATTTAATTTAAATACTAAAGAAGTGAAAGACCTATATAAGGAAAACTAAAACTCTCATGGAACAAATTGAAGAGGACACAAAAACAATGGAAAGATATTCCATGCTCATGAATTGGAAGAATGGTTATTATTAAAATGACAGTACTTCCCAAAGCAATTTACAGATTGAGTGCAATCTCTATCAAAATACCAATGACATTCTTCACAAAAATCAGGGGGAAAAAAAAGTCATGTGGCAAGCCCTAAATCCAATGACTCGTATTCTTTTTTTTTTTTTTTTTGACTCGTATTCTTATAAGAAATCCATATTTCCAAATTGACCAAGGCGTTGTAAAACGAAAGAAAGATGCCCAAGTAAAGAAATACACACAGGGAGAATGCCATGTGATGACTGAGGCAGATATTTGTGTAACACATCTACAAGTCAAGGGATCCAAGAATTGCTGACAAACACTAAAAACTTGGAGAGAAGCAAGGTAAATTACCCCATAGAGCTTTCAAAGATAACATGGCCCTACTGATACCTTGATTTTGGATTTCTAGCCTCCAGAGCTATGAGAGATTACAATTCTGTTTTCCACTATTGAGGTTGTGGTACTTTGTTACTAGAGCCATAGGAAAGCAATATAAGTTACAAGACAAATTATGAACAGATAAAGGGGAGAAAATAAGGTATGATATTACAGGTAGAACCCGTTATTGTGTTTCATTTTATTTGCTTTGCATATACTGCTTTTTTTTTTCTTTTTCAAACAAGTTGAAAGTGGCAACCGTGTGTGGAACAAGTCTGTCAGTCCCGTTTTTCTGACAGTAGTGCTCACTTTGTGTCTCTGTCACATTCTGGCAATTCCTGCAGTGTTTCAAACTTTATTATTATACCTGTCATGGTGATCTGTGATCACTTATTTTTGATGTTATTATTGTGTTTGTTTTAGTGTGCCAGAAACCATGCTTAAGATGGCAAATCTAATTGATAAACATTGTATGTGTCCTGACTGCCCCATTGACCAGCTGTTCCCCCATCTCTTTTCCTTTCCTTGGTTCTTGCTATGTCCTGAGACACAATAATATTGAAATGAAGCCAATTATACTACTACCACTATAGTGACCTCTAAGTGTTCAAGTGAAAGGAAGAGTCACATGCCTGTCAGATTAAATCAAAAGCTAGAAGTGATTAAGCATAGAAAGGCATGTTGAAAGCCAAGATAGACCAAAAGGCAGGAGGCTTCTCGTGCCAGAGAGGCAAGTTGTGAATGCAAAGGAAATGTTCTTGAAGAAAATGCAAAGTGCTACTCTGGTGAACATACAAATGATAAGAAAGCAAATAAATAAATAAATAAATAATCACACCAACCATGGCATTGCCTCTAGCCAAAGACTAACCCAGAGCAAATCCCTTACTTTCTTCAGTTCTGTGAAGCTGAGAGAAGTGAGGAAGCTACAAAAGAATAATTGGAAGCTAGCACACATTGGTTCATGAGGTGTAAGGAAGAAGCCGTCTCCTTAAAATGCCTCAGCAACAAGTCCTGATGTAAATGCTGCAGCAGGTTATCGAGATTCTAGCCAAAATTACCAATGAAGGTGGCTACAATAAACAGGTATTCAGTGTAGATGAAACAACCTTATATTGGAAGAACATGCCATCTAGGACTTCGATTGCTAGAGAGAAGTCAGTGCCTGGCTTCAAAACTTCAAAGGACAGTCTGACTCTTGTTAGGAGCTTATGCAGTTACTTTAAAGTTGAAGCAAGTGCTCATTTATCATCCTGAAAATCCTAGGGTCCATAGAATTATGCTAACTCTACTCTGCCTATGCTCTAGAAATGGAAGAACAAAGCCTGGATGATAGCACATCTGTTTACAGTGTGGTTTACTGAATATTTTAAGCCTACTGTTGAGATGTAGTACTCAAAAAAAAAAAAAATAAAAGATTTCTTTGAAAATATTACTGCTTATTCACAGAGTACCTAGTCACACGAGAGCTCTGAAGGAGAGGTACAAGGAAATGTTTTCAAGTGTGTTAATACAACACACGTTCTGTAGCCCGTGGATCAGGGAGTAATTTTAAGTCATTATTTGAGAAATACATTTTGTAAGGCTATAGCTGCCATAGGTATTGATTTCTCTGATGGATCTGGGCAAGGTAAATTAAAAACCTTCTCGAAATGATTCATCATTCTAGATGCCATTAAGAACATTTCTGATTCAAGGAAGGAGCTAAAAATAACCAGCATTAATAGGAGTTTGGAAGAAATTGGTTCCAACATTCTGGTTGTCTTTGAGGGGTTTAGTACTTCAGTGGATTAAGTAGCTGCAGATGTGGTGGAAAGGACTAGAATTAGAAGTGGAACCTGAAGATTTGATTGAATTGCTGCAATATCATGATAAAACTTGAACAAATAATTTACTTCTTATGGATGAGCAAACAAAGTGGTTTCCTGAGATGGTATCTACCCCTGGTGAAGCATTGTTGAAATGACAGCAAAGGATTTAGAATGTCACATGAACTTAGTTTATAAAGCAGCAGCAGGGTTTGAGATGATGGACTACAATTTTGAAAGAAGTTCTACCGTGGATAAAATGCTATCAAACAACATCACATGCTACAGAGAAATTTTTTGTTAAAGGAAGAGTCAGTCAAGGTGGCTAACGTTACTGTTGTCTTATTTTAAGAAATTGCCACAGCCACCCAAACCTTCCACAACCACCATACCATTCAGTCAGCAGCCTTCAACATCGTGGAAGACCCTCTACCAACAAAAACATTACCACTCTCTGAAGGCTCAGATGATTATTAGCATTTTTAGCAATAAAGTATTTTCAAATTATGATATATACATTTTTAGACATAATGCTTATGTACACTTAATAGACTACGTGGTATAGCGTAAACATAACTTTCACATGCACTTGAAAGCCAAGAAATGTAAGTGACTTGCTTTATTGTGATATTTGCTTTACTGAGGTGGTCTATAACTGAACCTGTAATATCTCTGAGGTATTCTTGTGTTTAAATGAGGTGGGCTTTGCTTTTTATTATCAAAATAATTATGTGTTTGTAGTTTTGGATAGGGTGATGATGAGTTAAAGAGAAAACGTTTTCTGTTTTGAAACTCCCCCGTCAAAACAGACATTCATTTTGTAAAAGACTCGCACTGTATCCTTTCTCAGGCAACAAGAAAGAGAAAGTAGTTTGGAAAATGAGAGAAAGTCAAGATGTTAATGAAACCATGTGATAGCCCTTTGAGGACAGTGTCAGAAAGGTAGAGAATCTCAAACATTGTCCAAAATAAATTCAGTGTTTGACTTTTCTTTTCTTTTTTTTTTTTTTGAAACGGGAGTTTCGCTCTTGTTACTCAGGCTGGAGTGCAATGGCACGATCTAGGCTCACCGCAACCTCCGCCTCCTGGGTTCAGGCAATTCTCCTGCCTCAGCCTCCTGAGTAGCTGGGATTACAGGCACGTGCCACCATGCCCAGCTAATGTTTTGTATTTTTAGTAGAGACGGGGTTTCGCCATGTTGACCAGGATGGTCTCGATCTCTTGACCTCGTGATCCACCCGCCTCAGCCTCCCAAAGTGCTGGGATTACAGGCTTGAGCCACCGCGCCTGGCCTTAGTGTATGACTTTTCTAGCCTATGTGTAATTACTAGCTTTAAAATGTTTTTAAACAATCTTTTTTCATGAAATTCGGTGAAATTTACATTAGATTCCAAGTCTGTTAAAAAGAGTCCCAAAACTCCCATTATGTATTTGTAATCAGTTTAATTGCATTTGTTGTAACTGCAATATTATATTGAAGTGCTGTTCAACCAAATACATAGAAACTGCCATGAAACAGTGTGTAGAACAGTCCAAGTGTGTCAGCTTTTGTGACAATGTCTTTAATCGATGTAAGCTTCCTTCTCTTTCTTGAATTACTGATTTTTTTTGGTATCATCCTGTAAAAACTCTTCAGGATTCCATGTTTCAGTGCAGTGGATGTATATTGATTGTAGGTTTGGCTCAGCAGGACACTCAAAAGTCCTGCAGGATGTGGAAGAATTCTTTATAGTGTGGGACCATCCCACCTATTGTAAGATGACTAGCATCTCTGGCCTCATCCTCTGAATGGCATTGGCATGAGGTGGTGGTGAGCTTCATTGTTATAACCAGAAGGTTCCCACAAATTTGCAAAATGCCCTGAGGGGCTGAAGCTACTTGTCTACAGTGTGGTATTCAACACTCTTCCCAAGTGGATTCCTTACCACAGTGAAAACAGAGGCTGTTTTTTTTTTTTTTTTTTTTTTTTTTTTTTTTTTTTTTGTCTTTTTAGACACTTGTGAAGACTGAGGAAGAAACAGCCCAGGCCCTTGCTGCAGAGAAGTGGCCACATCTGAATCTGGCTCAGAGGAACCTCTGTGGTAACTCAGCTCAGGAGACGGTTAGGAGCCTCAGCCTGATGAGTAAGCCCAGGCCTCTCTCTGTACTCTCATTTTCCCATCACTCACCCGGCTTGGCCCTTGGGACCCCGCATTTCCTACAGACCCCCACCCTTCCTTTCCCTTCTACTGGCCTCTGCTTCCAGACTTCTAGCTCTTACCATTTTGCATCCTTCCCAATCACATTTTCTTCTGTTGCTAATCAGCTTACTGATTCTTGTGGTTATCTTCTCTGATCATCCCTCCCAGTTCCCTGATTCCATCAGTCCTCTGAAAAAGGATCAAAAGGCTCCTTTTTCTTCCCTATCAAGGATTCCATATAACTTGTCATTTCAGATATCCCTTCGTATTTGGAAGCCCCATGAACACCTCTGCCTGATCTTGTCTTTACCTCACAGGAAGTCCTCTTCACTGTCTAAGAACACTGCTGTTCATGTTTAATTTAAATTATTTATTTATTTATTTATTTATTTAGTTTTAGTTTTTTTTAGAGATAGGGGTCTCACTCTGTTGCCCATACTGGAGCATAGTATCACTATGATAGTTCACGGCAGCCTCAAACTCCTGGGCTCAAGCAATCCTCCCACCTCAGCCCCTAAACAGCTGGGACTATACCCAGCTAATTTTTCTGTAGACAGAGTCTCGCTGTGTTGCCCAGGCTGGTCTTGAACTCCTGGCCTGAAGAAGTCCTGCCGCAGCCTCCCAAAACACCCAGCCTAATTTTCTTGAAATGTGCTCTGCCCTGTTGGGCCTCTTTCTTAACATTTTCCCATACCATGCTACATTTTGCAAAATTGCTGAAACTGTGCACCCTTGAAACATCAGTATGTTTTTTTGTTTTGTTTAATTTGGAACATCTGTTCCCTACCCTGGAAGTTTTGTTTTTTTTTTGTTTTTTTTTTTTCCTTCAAAATTCAGAGAACAGATGAGATTTAAATCATTAATGTTATATTTTAGCTGAAGAAATTGTAACTAAAGATAGATTGTTTAATGCAAAGCAAGAAACTTCTGAAGAAATAGAACAAGGTGGAGAGGCCTCAGCAATGCCCAGCAGGTGAGTGTCCATGGTCCTCAGTGGATCAAATGCTGCAGATATAAAAAATTGGAATGGAATCAAAGAAACCACTTAGTCAAAAGCCTGCTTCCCTCTAATAAGATAGAAAGACTGCCACTCTCACTTCTGTGATCATAGGAGGTCCATGCCAAGAAAGTGACTTATTCAAAATTTTCAGCATGTAAAAAATTGACATGCAGTGGCCTCCAAGAAGCCTATCCTGATCCAGTCTGTCCTGCTTGATTCTCTTCCCTGTGCTCCCTTACATTTTTTTCGAGCCATAGAGAAGCCAGAAGGCAGATAATTTAACAAGAGTGAAGGCTACAGGTGAAGCTGCCATGGCAGTTAAGGAAGAAATGTCAGAGCAGAAGACGACAAGCAGGGTACAGGTTGAGCATTCCAAATCTGAAACGTTCCAAAATCTGAGCTGTTTTGAGTACCAGCATGATGCTCAAAGGAAATGCTCACGGGGGCATTTTGGATTTTAGATCTTTGATTTACGGATGCTCAACTGGTATAATGCAAATATTCCAACATCTGAAAAAAATCCAAAATTCAAAAATCTGCTGGCCCCAAGGATTTCAGATAAGGGAAAATTAACCTGTATTTTCAACCACTGTTAAGAGACCTGAACAGGTCAAATCATCCATGTCTTCACCAATGTCTAGGTACAGGTCAAAAGGAAAGCTAGCTGATGAAGTAGAATTGAATGACAGTGGTGGTGCTTTATAGTGCTGGTTGTGGGAATTAATGAACTTGTAACAGATACTCATTTGCAAAGCAGGAAACTTCTGAGGAAATTGAAAAAGGTGGAGAAGGATCAGGAATGGCCAACATTCTGAGGCTTCTCAGGAATGGAGAAAGACAGGGAGCAAATCACAAGCAGAGGGTTGGCTTCTGATGAAGCCATTTGGTCCTCAGAGACTTGAGAAAAGAGGAGAAAGGAAGCAAGGTGGGATACTTGGCTAAAGAGCAGAGAAGGGGGTGGGAATTTTCCTTATTGACATTCGTTCATCTTAGAGAAACTGGGAGCTAAATCTCAGCTAAAATAGAAATGTCTTAAAGCTTAAGAAGAGAAATGAAATTTTGCATTAAGATTAGTGAAGACTGAGCCAAGCTCCACTAAAGGAAGAGAAATAACTTCCAGTAACTTAGAGCAGAGTTACACAACTGAAGAATAGGAATCTGCTATTGTGCCTGTGAGGTACACTTAGTATCAGGCAACTATCAGGTAATTCACAGTGCCTATGAGAATAAAGATACTCATATGACAAAAAGTCTGAAGGTAGGCTATTTCATGTTTGGTGCAATAGGTTAACCATGATATCAAAGATCTAGCCCCTGCCCTCTCTCTAGTCCCCCTCTCTGAAGTCCTCCTCTCTCACCTCCACCCTACTTCCTTGGCTCACTCTTTTTTCCCGTTTCTCACTCCCATTTCCTTCCCTCACAATATTGGACTTAATGCAATATAGCTCTCTTAGAGTTTACGTATCAACAGTAGAAAGACTCGTGATCAAGGAATGTCACTGAAGTTATGGATATCAGGGAACTTTAAGAGGGATGTGTTGAATACATTCAGACATTGAAGACACCCTGGATGATAAATGTGTTAAGTAAAGAAATGTATGTAGTATAAATTATGTTAAAATATACCCTTCGTGCTTGTTAAATGTCTTTGAAAACTTGACTAGTTTACCAACAGAACACTAATAAATTAAATGCACATATCTAAAAATTAAAAAGTTTGTGTAAAATAATACTTTTCATCTTTGTAACTTTAGCTTACTTCCTTGTAAGCCTCAAAAATCATTCCAAGTGCAAGGAATTTAGTTTCATTTGTTTTTCCCGGGGTAGTATGTCCATCAGATGAATGTAGAACTAGCAGGCGCTAAGTCCTTTTACATTCAGAAATTCTGTGAGAGGTGTGAGGAGACATAATAAATAACCTTTTTTTCTTGTTCAAGTTCAGAACCAATTGACAGGGATACAGGAGTAAAATAGATGGTTCTGGAAACCTTAGTTTCTTAGTGACTGACGTTAGACTGGCTAAAAACAACTCAAAGGCAGAGCTAAATAGGCTTGTACTGGCAGAGGAGGAGTGTAGGAGATGTCTCTCTGCTTAGGTCTTCTCAGTGCAACTTGGGGCAACAAGGGGCATAGAATGTCTGCATCCTGTTCCTAAAGAGAACAGAGGGAGGGGCGTACCAAGGATACCCAGTTCTTTCTCCCAGGTTCAACAGTTAGTTCTGTCATGAAGAGTGAGTGAGAGGTGGAGAGAGGCTAGAAATGTTCAATCTAGCCTGAGTCCTTCCCATAGAAACAAGAGAAATAAGTAAGTACCCCCCCACACACACACCCTAAGCCCCAAAAGATGAAAGCTTCAGCAGATTTATCATGTGTGAGAGAATATGAGTGAGGACTTTTTTTTTTGAGACGGAGTTTCGCTCTTGTTACCCAGGCTGCAGTGCAATGGCGCGATCTCGGCTGACCGCAACCTCTGCCTCCCGGGTTCGGGCAATTCTCCTGCCTCAGCCTCCTGAGTAGCTGGGATTACAGGCAAGTGCCACCATGCCCAGCTAATTTTTTGTATTTTTAGCAGAGACAGGGTTTCACCATGTTGACCAGGATGGTCTCGATCTCTTGACCTCGTGATCCACCCGCCTCAGCCTCCCAAAGTGCTGGGATTACAGGCTTGAGCCACCGCGCCCGGCTGACTGAGGATTTTAATAACATGTTCTTTTTTTCTTTCTCAGAGCGTGTGCACTCCAGATTCCTTATAGTACTCCTATCCCTACTGAAAGGACAGTTGCACATTTGAACACTGTGAAGAGCCATCACTCAGGTGACTTGTGGGCCCGGATGCACATCTCATCCTTGGAATATGCTGCAGGAGACATTACTCGAAAAGGGAGAAAAAAAGACAAAACTCGAGTGAGTGAACTGCTCCAAGGCCTTGCATTCTCTGGTGACTCAGATGTGGAAAAAGATAATGAGCCTGAGACCCAGCCTGCTCAAAAGAAGTTAAAGGTGTCATGTTTCCCAGAAAACAGTTGGACCAAAAGAGACATTAAACCCAACTTTCCAAGCTGGTCAGCACTGGATTCTGGACTTTTGAATCTCAAGAGTGAAAAGTTGAACCCAGTAGAACTTTTTGAATTATTTTTTGATGATGAAACATTCAACTTAATTGTCAAGGAAACCAATAATTATGCTTCTCAGAAAAATGTCAGCTTGGAAGTCACAGTTCAAGAAATGAGGTGTGTGTTTGGTGTCCTGCTTTTGAGTGGATTTATGAGGCGTCCTAGAAGGGGAATGTATTGGGAAATCTCTGACACCGATCAGAACCTGGTTAGAGATGCAATCAGAAGGGACAGATTTGAATTGATTTTCTCAAACCTGCACTTTGCAGATAATGGCCACCTAGATCAAAAAGATAAGTTTACAAAGTTGAGGCCTCTCATAAAACAAATGAATAAAAATTTCCTCTTGTATGCTCCCCTAGAAGAATACTATTGCTTTGATAAGTCAATGTGTGAATGCTTTGATAGTGACCAATTCCTGAATGGAAAGCCTATTAGAATTGGCTATAAAATTTGGTGTGGTACAACCGCACAGGGTTATCTGGTGTGGTTTGAGCCCTATCAAGAAGAATCAACTATGAAGGTAGACGAGGATCCTGACCTTGGGTTAGGTGGAAATCTAGTGATGAACTTCGCTGATGTTCTTTTAGAGAGAGGTCAGTATCCCTATCACCTGTGTTTTGATAGCTTCTTTACAAGTGTGAAATTGTTGTCAGCCCTGAAAAAGAAGGGGGTGAGAGCAACTGGAACAATTCTTGAGAACAGGACTGAAAAATGTCCCCTTATGAATGTAGAACATATGAAAAAAATGAAGAGAGGGTATTTCGATTTCCAAGTAGAAGAAAACAGTGAGATAATTTTGTGTCGTTGGTATGGGGATGACATTATCAGTCTGTGCTCCAATGCTGTGGGCATAGAACCAGTCAATGAGATAAGTTGTGATGCTGATGATGAAGAAATCCCTCAGATAAGTCAACCATCCATAGTAAAAGTGTATGATGAATGCAAGGAAGGTGTAGCTAAAATGGATCAAATTATTTCGAAATATAGGGTGAGGATAAGAAGCAAGAAATGGTACTCAGTTTTGGTGAGCTACATGATCGATGCAGCCATGAACAATGCATGGCACCTGCACAGAGCCTGTAACCCAGGTGCTTCTCTAGACCCATTGGACTTTTGGAGATTTGTTGCACATTTCTACTTGGAACACAATGCCGATCTGTCAGATTAGGGCATGTAAAATGGACACAGTGCAGGCATTAATAAGACAGAAAAATAATAACTGTACATGCTGTTGTATCCTCCCAAAGCAAATCTGATATATGTAATGAAGTTAAGTAATTAATACTTTTAAAAATCAGATATTTATATAGAGTTTCAAAGACTTGTAACAAATAATGTTAAAAATTATCTGTGAAAATGTTGAACTATAGTACCTTTCTCTGTCATATTTTGTATCAGACACAGGAAATAATTTATTTGTTCAATTGACAATTTTGTGCATTTAAAGAATGAAATCCTATGTCTTAAAAAATTCTCTGGAGAATGCCATTTTAAAAATGTAAGCAATGTCACAGTAACTGTAGAATGGTGCTGACTCCATAGTTCCCAACTAGAGACACAGCCTATAAAGTAAGAATGATCTAAACAAAACATAGGTGGTAAGAGACTAAAAACCTTAGCATTGGTTTAAAACTGGATCGGATTGTGTGTAGGTGAGAAGGGTCAGGCATGGATATTGAAGGAGAGTGCTATAAAGGAAAAACCAGAGGTAAAGCAGTGCCTTTGAATATTCAAATGATAGGTGTAGCCTATGGTTACTGTGTGAATTGGCAGCAGAAGCAGAAGAGTAAAGAAAACTGAGGAAACATGAAACAAATCAAAATAACAAGTCACCATGAGAGTGAAGGAAAAGAAAAGAGTAAAGCAACATAAAACCCATGTTGAAATCACCTGAGGAGATGTCTGGGTTTAAGGTGGTCAGTGAACTGATGGAACAGAATCAGTGAACTCAAGGAGAAAAACACCTGGAAAAGTGAACGATATGGACTGTGATTCCTTAGTGTTGAAGTCTACACTTCAGCACAATCCACTATTCGTGGATTAGTCTGTTGGGTAGAGAAGACAGGTTCCAGCTCATTTCTGTGGGTTATAGCCACAACAGCTCTTTACCTTTCTTTGATATCCTAAAATTTACAGTCCCTTTCTTGGCTGGAAGGCACGTGGTCAGGTTTGAATTCTTTGAAGGCATGTTTATTATGTGGATGACTGGTGAAAGTGTAAGCTATGCATAATATAGTCACAGATTCACCTATTCTGTATCAGATGTTCAAAGAAAATAGATGTTTATTAGTTCTTGTAATTGATGTGATATTCTTTGTGAAATACAGCACCAGGATGGGTTGGTTTTTACTTTTAAATGATGGAGTGTCTGGTGTCTGCCCACAAAAGGATATTAATAGAATGCACGTTTTAGTTAAATGATAAGTGAGTGATGCAGATAGTAATTGCTGATATAGGCGGGAAATAATTACATAATAACTTAATACACTTTCATGTCTGCCCTGATGTTTAGAGCCGACCCCACTTAGCAGTTATCAAAGGCTGCATTTAATAAGTCCCATTTTCTAAATCTGCCTTTCTCTTCTCCAGGGTTCCATAATTATGCAAATAATATCACTGACCACCCAGGTATCAAAGAAGACACCTAAATGACCCTCGCCTACCACCCACCTCTAATATCTCTTGAATCTGTTCCCACTGTTCTACCTCTTTGCCATCATTCAGACCACAGTTCTGTGATGTTGCCTGACTGCCCACCAGAGCCTTCCTTGACCCTCCCCCTCCCCAAGCCAGTCTCCAAACAATAACTGTGAAAGTTCTGAAGAGCAACTTTGAGTATCAGCTCTGCAGAAGGTAGAAACAGTATGTTATGAAAAAGCCTAAACAGTGGACTGTATGTGGTCTTGGCCTCAGAAAGTCTTTGAATTTCAGCCATGTAACCTTGGGCAGATGAACTCTCTGAGCCTAACCCACACTCCCCATGGCGTTCAAGATACCACTCTACAGTTGAGAAGTAAATGTGGAGCCCAGGGGAAGTGACACCCTAAGACTGGAGCAGAATTGGCCTATGCTGTACACACTAGCACCTGACCAGGAAGTGAAGTAAGCTGAAAGGAACCTGGTTCCCTGAAGACTGGAATAGTCTTGAAAATTGCCTGCCGCTGAGATTTGCATGTGAGGGCAACAAACTTCTATCTTGGTGAATTCATTGTTACTGGGGGTGGGAGTATTGTTATTCCTAGCTGAACATAATTATGGTAAATAATCACTGATTCATATCAGGTCTCCTAGGTTAGATGAAGTTGGATACAGGAGAAAAACTTTGGATGACTCTTAATTCACACCTACATACAAATTGAACAAAAACTTGTAGCATTTACTCCATATGACTGTTCTAAGAGTTTTATAAATATTAAGCTATTAATATGTATTAAAGTATTAATGAGAATATTAATATCAATACATAATATTCTCATGTATTGATATTAACACAATATTAATACGTGAGAGTATTAAGAATATTCAAGATGGACTGGGCGCGGTGGCTCAAGCCTGTAATCCCAGCACTTTGGGAGGCCGAGGCGGGTGGATCACGAGGTCAAGAGATCGAGACCATCCTGGTCAACATGGTGAAACCCCGTCTCTACTAAAAATACAAAAAATTAGCTGGGCATGGTGGCTCGTGCCTGTAATCCCAGCTACTCAGGAGGCTGAGGCAGGAGAATTGCCTGAACCCAGGAGGCGGAGGTTGCGGTGAGCCGAGATCGTGCCATTGCACTCCAGCCTGGGTAACAAGAGCGAAACCCCATCTCAAAAAAAAAAAAAAGAATATTCAAGATTAATATTCTCGTGTATTAATAAATAATTCTTATGTATTGATAATACATGAGAAAATACATTAAGTAGCATTTTTAAAGTCATGTAGCTAGTAAATGGTGTAATCCTTGCAGCCAGTATTGAGCTAATTTGTTTCATGGTTTTTCCTTTGAGTTTTTATTCTTTTTGTACCTCTCTCTATAAAACCCAAAAAAGGTCACACTGCAGGAGAGGTCAACACCTTTGTCATTGTGAAGGGCTTAGGAAAAGACAAAGGTTCCTGGAGATCTGTACGAAGAGAGTGACTGTCTACCCTACCACACTATTGCACTGAACATCTATGGTACTTCTGTGCACACCATGTTCATGGTGCTCATTAAATACTGCCGCCTTACATGGTAGTTATTTTTATTCAGCGTGTATCCTTTACTAGACAACCAAACTTACAGGGAATCTCTTTTGCAACCCTCCTTGCAACCAAAACAGGACCTGAAATTTGCTATATTACTCAGGATACTTAGAATACCCTGCAGCTTGATGGGAAAATTTAGCTATCCAAATACATAGCTTTATCTTCAAAGTGTACTATAGAACAGTGGAATATGAGAGTAACCTTGGAAAAAAATACAGAATAATTTGGAGTGAGAGATAATGAAGACAGATGGTGACTTTAAACATTATTAGGTAAATGTATACATTAGGAGAGGCCCCAACATCCTTTACTGATCTGGCTGGCTTCAAGGAACTGTTTCCAACTGAGTCAGAGGACAGTGACTTTTTAAGGCAGGACAATTCTTCAAGGCAGGATAAACACCATGATTAAGTTATCCTGTAGTCTTCACATTGAGGTATCTAATTAGGGATTGTCTGATTATTAATAACTAGATAACAAATAAACATCAGTCTGACTTGCATTTGTGCCTAAACATTCTGACTTAACCCCTAGGCTTAGACTGAACTTTTTCCTTATTTTACACTACAAAATTAATTCTTTTTAAACTTTATTTATTTCAATCAGTTTTTGGAGAAAAGGTGGTGTTTGGTTACATGAATAAGTTCTTTGGTGGTCATTTCCGCGATTTTGGTGCACTCGTCACCTGAGCAGTGAACACTGTACCCAGTGTGTAGTCTTTTGTACCTCAGCCCTGCTCCCATCTTTTCTCCCAAGTCCCCCAAGTCCATTGTATCATTCTTATGCCCTTGCATCCTCATAGCTTAGCTCCCACTTACAAGTGAGAACACAAGTTTGGTTTTCCATTCCTGAAATACTTCACTTAGGATAATGGTCTCCAATTCCATCCACGTTGCTGTGAATGCCATTATTTTGTTCATTTTTAATGGCTGAGTAGTATTTTGTGGTGCAGGTATACCACAATTTCCTTATCTACTTGTTGATTGATGGGAATATGGGCTGGTTTCATATTTTTGCAATTATGAATTATACTGCTATAGACATATGCGTGTAAACATCTTTTTCATATAATGATTTATTTTCTTCTGGGTACATATCCAGTATTGGGATTGCTGGATCAAATGGTAGTTCTACTTTTAGTTCTTAAAGGAATCTCCACACTGTTTTCCATAGTGGTTGTACCAGTTTACATTCCAACCAGCAGTGTAAAGGTGTTCCCTTTTCAACAGCATCCAAGCCATCATCTGTTATTGTGTTGTTTTGGCTAGCTATTTATTTATTTATTTATTTTGAGACGGAGTTTCGCTCTTGTTACCCAGGCTGGAGTGCAATGGCGCAATCCTGGCTCATCGCAACCTCTACCCTCTGGGTTCAGGCAATTCTCCTGCCTCAGCCTCCTGAGTAGCTGGGATTACAGGCATGTGCCACCATGCCCAGCTACTTTTTTGTATTTTTAGTAGAGACGGGGTTTCACCATGTTGACCAGGATGGTCTTGATCTCTCAACCTCGTGATCCACCCGCCTGGGCCTCCCAAAGTGCTGGGATTACAGGCTTGAGCCACCGCGCCCGGCCCTGTTATGGCTATTCTTGCAGGAGTAAGTTCTCAGATTGTGGTTTTGATTTGCATTTCCCTAATAATGAGTAATGTTGAGCTTTTTTATGTGTTTGTTGGCCATTTGTATATCTTTTGAGAATTGTCTATTATCCACTTTTTGACGGTATGTTTTTTCTTGTAGATTCTGGATATTACTCCTTTGTCAGATGTAGAGTTGGTAAAGATCTTCTCTCACACTTTGGGTTGTCTGTTTACTCTGCTGATTGTTTCTTTTGCTGTGCCAGAAGCTTTTTGTTTTAAATCCCATCTATTTATCTTTTGTTTTTGTTGCATTTGCTTTGGAATTCTTGGTCATGAATTCTTTGCCTAAGCCAATGTCTGGAAGCTTTTTTTTTTTTTTTTTAAATGTTATCTTCTAGAGCTTTTATGATTTCAGATCTTAAGTTTAAGCCCTTGATCCATCTTGAATTGATTTTTGTATAAGGTTAGAGATGAGGATCCAGTTTCGTTCTACTACATGTGGCTTGCCAATTATCCCAGCACTGTTTTTTGTATAAGGTGTTCTTTCCCCACTTAATGTTTTTGTTTGCTTTCTTGTAGATCAGTTGGCTGTATTTGGCTTTATTTCTGGATTCTCTATTCTA